AGGAAGTCCGGCGAGTACCACTATCATTCAAATATACACCAACAACTAGAGCGTCAAAGTAGGAAATAGAAGATTTCTATCAACTTTCGCAGTGTGAAATCAATCAAATATGCAATCAAGATACATTAATACTAATGGGTGATAGGATTTCAAAAGCTGGGAACAGGGAAGCAGGATTGGTGTTGGAAAACATGGACTTGATGACAGAAGAGAGGCTGGAGATAGAATGATAGAATTCTATACAATCAATGATTTATTCTTTGCAAATACTTTTTATAAGAAACATAAATGCAAACTATCCAAAGTAGCATATACTGAAAATTAACGATGTCATTCTGGAGACTAAGGTGTGCCTGATCCAGGCCATGTTGTTGTTATTGTGTACCAGTCAGAATCAACCCATAGCTGACCTTCCAGTGGGTTTTCAGAGGCAGTTAATTGCAAGGGAGGAGACTGCGCATCCTTCTCCCATCAGTTGGTGGCCTTGAACTGTGTGCCATCAGTATTATAGCACAGCTTCTTGCCACTAGGCCACCAGAGCTTCCTAATCTTTGCAATTACTTGCTATTCGTCAGAAAGCTGGACAATGACTAGGAATGGTAGATGCCATAGATGCCTTTGAGCTGTGGTACTGGAGAATATTGAATATTCATGGACTGCCAGGTTCATCCTGGAGAGGGTGAAACCAGGCTGCTCCTTCGAAGCAAGGATTCTGAGGCTTCGTCACATACTGTTGGAATGTTGCAAGGAAGAATCAGTCCTTGGAGATGGACATCATCCTTGGAAGAGTGGAGGGACAGCTCAGGAGAGGAAGACCCTGGATGAGATGGATTGATTCAGTAACTAATGAGGGTAGATGTGTCAGAGAAAATAAGATTGGCAAAGGATAGAGCAGGTTTCATGGCTGTTGTATACAGGGTCAGTATGAGTCACAAGCGACTTGAAAAGAAATGGTGAAGAGATTGAGATTGTTCACAGCTTTAGTTTGCTTGGCTCCACAGTCCACACTCTTGACATCAGTAGCCAGAAAATTAAGACATATTGCCATGGCAAAGTCAGCTGTTAGAGACCTCTCCAAAGTACTGAAGAACAATGGTGTCTCTCTGGAGACTAAGGTGCGTCTGATACAGGCCATGGTCTTTGCAATCACTTGTTATGCATCACAGAGTTGGAGATGACTACGGAGGATAGAAGCAGAAGTCATGCCTTTGAGCTGTAGTGCTGGAGAAGAGTATTGAGGGTACCACGGACTACTAGGAAAACAAACAGATTCATCCTGGAAAGCGTTAAACCAGGCGGCTCCTTGGAGGCAAGGATTCTGAGGCTCCGTCTAACATACTTTGGACATTTTGTAAGGAAGGACCGGTCCTTGGAGGGGGACATCATGCTTGGTAGGGTCAAGGAACAGCGTACGAGAGGAAGGCCCTCTATGAGGTGGATTGATTCACAGTGACTGGGGTAATCGGGATGGGTGTATCAGAGACAGTGCAGTTGGCACAGGACAGAGCAGAATTTAGGGCTGTTGTACATACGGTCGCTATAAGTCGCAAGAGACTCAACGGTACATAACAACGACAACAACATATATTTAAAATAGGAACCAGATAGTCTGTAGTTCCAGGATAACATTTCAATGGGTTGCTGCCTAGCTGAACCAAACGTTTGCTTATACCTGGTGGACCACTACAGCAAACTGCTGCCCATTGTGTCTTATGTATTTATGTACTATCATTTTGCATTGCAAACACAACACTTTGTAAGTCAATCACTGTTGTTTCCATCACTGTTATTAAAAAAAAATAAGGAAGAAAAAAAAAACCCACACCTTCATGTGTACAGAATTAAAAATTATAATTAATGAGACTTGCTAAAAGGAAAAAGATTACTATTGCCTTTCTTTCCCCCTCAATACAAAAGAGAATTTGACAAATAATTAGGTGCGTGAAAAGTGGTGTATTTCTGAATATCGAACAAAATGATTCATAGGGAATTATTTTAATGCAAACTAAATCAGATATGTAAAGCTGTTTTAAAACATGAGACTATTATAATTATTTCCTCCATTGTGAACTTGCTCGTAAATTAGGCACTCAGGTGTATTTCTGTTCTTCATTCATTTTTCTTATAGTGGATTTAATCCCGAAAAGTAGTAAGTGAGCCAATCTTTGTGCCTATATAAATATTACATGATCACAGCTTTGACTTACAGATTTTCCCATTGACATTAGATTGAATAACTATAGTTGTATGGATATTCACAAAACAAATTCCTTTCCTCTAACAGACACATGTATGTTGTATAGTTAAAAAGGAGGGGGGAAAGTCTGTGAATCCTATCTTCAATATAAAATAAACTTATCCATACAAAATAGGCATTGAGCTGTAGTGGTAAGATTGAAGAAGAATATAACTGAATTACAACAGTCTTTTTCATAATTGCCTAAGGGCCATTTGGCGATTTTTATCCTAAGCCTCCATGACTAACATTTTTCTATTTCCAACAAAATCTATGATGTTAAGTAACTGATTCTCTCAATTGTGGTCTGTATTTTTAAATAAATGAAATCAAGGTGGATTTTGGCGTACTGGAAGCTGACATCTCACAAGCTTACTTGTTGGGAGAGATGGTATTTGACGTTTATTAAATCTACGCGCTTCCCCACCGTACCCCCACCCCAGGCCTGTCTCAATCTGTTAAGACTCTTGGTGTAGTAATTTTGCCTAAATTCCACACTTTAGATTTGGAAATACTGCACTGTACGAGAAATATGCATTAAGCAGAAAGGTAGCATTTTCTCTGAACTACTCTAATCTTAAATGACTTATTTTTGTGATCCCGCTTTCCCTAACCCCATTTCATGTAATCGTCCCGATGCGAGATTAGTATTTTGTATGATTAAATCAGATCATTTAGGAACCCCCCTTTCCCCATTACACAGTCCATGCCTGAAAAAGGCTGGGGAGAACTCAACACCATTACTTGTACTTTCAAAGTTCCTTTTGTGAAGATTTATGAGGCATTTAATTGCAAAAATCTATGGAAATGTATGCATTCAATCACACCACAAAGATACACACAGCGCACACGCTCTGAAGCCAGAGAGTGGGGAAACCCTAACTTCTCCATTCTCTTATTATTTGGACAAGTTACTTCAACCCTAACTCAGTTTACTCTTACGTAAAATGCAATCAGTATGATGGTGTTAATAAGGTTATGAGAATTTGAAAAAGCACTTGATGCACCGACTGGCACATAAGAGTTCAATAAATGTTATCCATAGCAAAGGATTTCCAATTCTCATTCCCTGAAATCCCCATGCACGTTCTGCTACAGCAAACTGCTTTTCAGGTCAAGGTAACCATCTACTTGTCCAGAAAGGTCCTTCCTTTAGGCTACCGTGAAGCACCTGCTACCCGCAGCCTGAACCCTGTTCCCCTCAAATCCTCCTCTGAGAACCTGCACAATTCAAAGCGGCAACTATCACCGCAGCTTCCCGACGTGCAAACTGCGACGTCAAGGCCCGCCCAGCCAGAAACCGACAAGAGGCGGAGCCTGGCCGCGACCTGGCGTCCTCAGGAGGCCTGCGTCTCCACGGCCGCAACAAAATGCATCACCCATTCTTAGGCACCTGCGCCAGCCGGCGGAGATTTTGGGCTTTCTAAGACGCAAGAAAGAAAGGCAGGGGAACACCGGCCCCACCTCGCTGCCTCCCAACCTCCTCGCAGAGACATCAAGCCCCCCCGCCTGGTTGCAGGGGAAACGGAGCTCCCCGGACGCGGCCCACCGCGGGGCGGAGCCTCGAGCTCGAGGCCCCAAGGCTGAGGGCCCGGGGCTGTCCGCGGCGCGCCTGAGCCACGTATCGACATGTGCTCTCTGCTCTTTTATTCGTCCTGCCAGCGGGGTCACATTCCTGGAGCAGTCGCTTCCAGGAGTTTTCCGTCTCCTCGTTGCTTTAGCCGCTCCATTGTAGGGAAAGATGGAAGCAGGAAATCAGGCAATTTGTAGACAGCATCAGAGGAAATAGACTATAGAGGTGGGGTCCTTTGCTCGCGCCGAAATTCAAAGGAATAAATAGTTCCGGCGCCGGTGTGGCGGCCGTGTGTCGTCTCCGCTATGGAAGACTTTTCTTCCTAGCGCCCGAGGCCGGGCAGCTTGGGTCCACGCTCCATCCTCGCGGCCTGCGGGAGCCCTCAGGGCGCCCATAACCTAGGCGAGTTGAGCAGCAGCGAGGAGGTGCGTGTGCTTCGCCAGCTGGGCCTGGCATTTCAGAAAGGAAATGCGGGTGAGAGGATGCCTAGCAAGGAGTCATTCTGAGATGGGGATTTGTAATAAAAAGCATTTGACAGGAACAGTCATTCCTGTGCAGCCTTGAAGTGGGATGTAAAAGTGTTAATAAGAAAGGGTTGTGGGGCCAGGTAAACAGCCCAAGTTGATGGAAGAGTTGGGGGGAAATAACATGGAACTTGTCAAGTGTGACTGATTTCCCTCTGAGTGAAACCACTTGGCGTACTGTGTACCTAGTCGAAGACTACAGAAGTGTAACATAATAGGGAAAAGCAAATGTGGTTCAGTGTCAGCCTTAGATGCAGGAAGAGAGGGTTGGTAGGAACGCAGTTACATCTGGTGAGGTCAAGAGGAACATCTGAGCCAAGTTGCGAGTGTAGCAGAGTGTGTAACATCAGTGCTGGGGTGGGAGGGTGAGCTTACAGACAGAGGGAATGAAATATGAAATAACCAGTAGTCTGCGCAGCCCAGATGCGATAAATGTGGAAAGGTCTGGAAAAGTAGATAAGGAAAGTGCTAAGGGTTTTTGTTTCCAGGCTGGCTGGTTTAGTTCACTTCTTGGGGTGAAGTTGAGAAGAGTCTTAATTAGAGAAACCATCTCTCAACACCAGAGGAGGTTGCTTGACAACAAGCTGTATCACGTCTTTTGGGCTGCAATTCTTAACGTTTTACTCGCTCACATTCAGTTATGAGTCTTGGTTTGTATTTTATCTTGTTTTATACAGAATTGGAGTGTACCTGTTTGATCCCAGCAGAGTTTTACAAGTCCAAAGACCGTAGTGAAAATGCATATTAAGTCGATCATCTTGGAGGGATTCAAGTCCTATGCTCAGAGGACCGAAGTTAATGGCTTTGACCCTCTCTTCAATGCTATCACTGGTTTAAATGGTAGTGGAAAATCCAACATATTGGACTCCATCTGCTTTTTGCTGGGCATTTCCAACCTGTCTCAGGTAAAATAGAAACATTTTTATTTTTATAAATTTACACTTGGTTAAGGAAGTCTGTGATTGTAAGAAGAGACATTGGCACTTTGTTTTCCATTGATGCTTAAGTACTGTGTTTTCTGTTCTGGTGGTCATAAAAAGTTGCATCACTCACCAAAGGCCACAGCTCTCTGGCAGTTGGAATTTACCAACAGCTGCGCAGGAGAAACTCAATGGAAGATCACCTAGATGTTGGTTTTGATTTGACAGCAATGAATTTGAATTTCACGGTTCACCAGAAATGGATGAACAACAAATTTCTTGGATACTTTGTAGCCTTAGCGTTAAAGCATGTGGCTGCTGGCCAAGATGTCAGTAGTTTATCCCAAACCAACTTCTCCATGGGAGAAGAATAAGCATTTTGTGAAGGTTCAGAGACTCAAGGGCATCTCTTCTCTGTCCCACTAAGTTTCTGTTCGTTAGAATTGACTCGGCAGTGGGGTTTTATCTTCTGATAAAGGAGAATTGATGGCACAATTTTTACTTAATCTCTGTACCAAAACTGGTTTGAATCTAGCAATTGCTCTGTCTTTGGTAGAACGATTTAGCAGTTTGAGTCCATAAAACCTACAGTCTTGGAATCCACATGGAGCAGTTCTGCTCTATCCTAAAGGGTTACTGAGTATAGGAATCAACAGTGCGTTTGGATTTTCCTCTTATTTTTCTGAATAAGGACAACTGAAAATTAATTGCTTCATGTTATTGAATTCTGTGGACTGCTGGAAGAATAAACATATTGTCTTGAAAGAAATGCAACCAAGATAATCCTTAGAAGCTCAATGACAAGCCTTTGTCTCATTTATTTTGGACATGCTATCAGAAAGGACAGGGAGTTCTGGTGGCCTAATGACAATAAACTGTGCCGTATAGTCCTGAAGGCGTGTGGTTCTAGTTCACCAGCTGCTCTGCAGAAGGATGGACAGTCTCCGCCCATGCAATTAATTCCCTCTGAAAACCTGCCAGAGAGTCAGCTGTGGGTTGGATGGTACACCACAACAATATCATCAAGCATGGCAAAGTAGAAGGTTAACAGAAAAGATGAAGTCCCTCATCAAGGTGGATTGATGTAGAGCCTGCAACAGTGATCTCAAACACAGCGTTGATTGTGAGGCTGACACAGGGAAGTTTTATTCTGTTGTGCACAGCCACTATGAATCAGAACAGTTAATTCAGTGTTGCTCAACAAGGACAACTATAGATCTGTTGGAGTAGAAAACCATTCTATTTAGGGTTGGTGAAGTCGTAAAGAGAAACACATCCATTATTTATCTCATCTCAAGGGATTCATAGCCTTAGAAACTTAGTGGAGGGTCTGCTATGCGTCAGTTCTGACTGATAACAGTGAGTGAATAAGATACATTTACTACCCTTGAATATTAATCGATATGGTATAGGTGGAGCTTCTAACAGGAAACATATTTAGTGTTTTGTGTCATATGAGGTTTTGTAAGTGATAACTTTTCTTCTGCTTTAGGTTCGGGCTTCTAATTTGCAAGATTTAGTTTATAAGAATGGGCAGGCTGGTATTACCAAAGCCTCCGTGTCAATCACTTTTGATAATTCTGACAAAAAGCAAAGTCCTTTAGGATTTGAGGTTCATGATGAAATCACAATAACAAGGCAGGTGAGTGATTAACATTTCATACCCTTTTTGGTAATCTGACTTTATAGAAAGTGCTTAAGATGAACTTATTGGAACCTCAGATACTGTCTCGTTCTTTATGAATGTCAAAATTTTGATCTTGCAAATTCTGTCAATAATTAAATGGTTAAAAAACATCTGAAGTTATGTGTTCCATAAAAGTTCTCAACTATACATATTTCAGTCCTTTGCATTGGAATATCTCCAGCATCCGAGATCTTGTTGCCTTGTAGGATAGTTCATTCTATTTGGACATTTCTGATAAAGATAAAATTTCTGTAAATTCAGAGAGCCATCTCTCTTACACTTTCATAGATTAAATCTTTGGAAGTAGTAAAAGGAGATATAATTTATGCCATACAAACACTTAAGTCTTTTTAAAGCCAAGTCTTTTCTGTCCTTTCAGTTGGTGTTTAATTCTTTGCAGTTTCTTCACTTACTTCATCACTGAATATGCTCCAGTTCTCTTTCTGTCTGTGTGTGTGTGTGTGTGTGTGTGTGTGTGTGAGTGAGTGTGCACGTGCACACATACATGTGAGTTCGTAATAACACGGAGCATATAACCTGTTGATGTTATTAGAAATAATTGTCAGTTTTTCCATGTTAGGAGGTATTATACCTCTGTTTTCCTTAGTATGGTATTAAAGGTTCATAATGTATTACAAATCCATATAAAAGTTATTTAAAACATTTTCACTATTTTGAATGTACTTCATCTCTAAGCCCTGGTACTACCATGCTTATGCCTTTGCATTTTTTAAACCAGTGCAACACCATGTTTTTGCCTTTTTTTTTTATCCTTATAATCAGACCATTTTTCCATCTTGTTAGGGTTCTTTTAAATGTGTTTTTCAGTTCTTTACTGCTCAGTCACTTCTTGACGTAATGTCACTCAGGTTTCTGCATGTAATTTTAATCAAGATCACTGATTTAGAAACAAAATCATTTTGACAAGATCAGGACAGGTTTTCTGTTCTCTTATTGAGCATCTATTGCCTTTAGGAATTTTTACTATTTGTATTACTAATTTAACTAGTTGTTCTCGTTTTCATCCTGTAGTTTGTCCAAACCTGTGTAAGAGAGACCTCCAATTATTTGTGAATATACTCTTGTTTAAATATGTAACTTAGGTCAAATAAGATTGAAACTGGCTTTCTTTTCAATATTTATTTTTATTATGTGTCATTCTTCAGTGCACTGGGATGTAAAGGTAGACAGAAAATCAGGTAACAAATTTTGCCTTTAAAAACCTTCAGATATGGTAGGTGAGAAAATTATACCCAGGATATGACAATTTAAGTGCTCTATTAGAAGTGTGAACAGGCTTGTCTCTGCCGTGACTGGTCTTAATGTATCTCTGCTGAAGTTTGGTGATTAATCTTTTTTTTTGCTTAAGTGGTCACAGTCATGTCTTTTAGAGTCTTGTCTAGGATCACTGTGAAACCACTTACCCTTATTACTAGAGCTTATTTCATTTGAAAAGTTGAAAAATTGGAAGAAAGAGGAATTAACTCCAAGTAAGGAGACATTGCAGAAAGGTGGTTACCTGGAATGGAAAGTCTATTTCACATGTACATGAAAATAGAAAGTAACGTTAGACATCCAGTTAAGTGCAGGGGCTTTTGGAGGATTATACATGGCTATTTCTACTTTGCAAAAATCCACACATTAGAAGCCATCTGTCCTGACTCAGTATTATTTTTTATCATGCCACACTTCTACTATTAGTATTGTTTTTAAGTAAAAGCTATTATCTTTGAGTTGGCACAAGACTTTACATGGGTATCTCTTAAAATGCTTTTTTTTTTAAGGTGGTGATTGGTGGCAGAAATAAATACTTAATCAATGGAGTAAATGCAAACAATACCAGAGTACAAGATCTCTTCTGTTCTGTTGGCCTTAATGTTAACAACCCTCACTTTCTCATTATGCAGGTATTTTATTCATGGTCTTTACATTTGTTTTTTAATGATTTTGATGTGGTGTGTTTTTCCCCCTACATCATTTTGATTGTACAGGTGGTTTTTTATTGAATTTTTCTTTTTTTTTTTTTTTTGCTAATATGCTGATGTTTAGACTCCTTTTAATCAATGTGGTTTAAGGATTTGTATTGCTAGAATTATAAGAACAGTACATGCTAAATATTACATACATTTATTCTTTTAAATGAAAAGGATTTAATTTTATGAATGTATATTAAAGTTTGAATAATTCTTTTCTTTAGAGTCTTACACAAATAAAAAATAAGCATTGACATGTTACAGCTACATTATCACACTTTACCTGCCTGGTGTTCTATCAGGGGAAAAATCACAGACGAAACTTTTCACTCTTTCCGTTTCAGAGCTAAATCCAAATCTTAAGTAATGGGGTTTGTTGATAAATGAATGTTTTTTTTGTAGGAGGGAAGGGAGGTGGGTTAATGAATGCATTGAAATTCTTATCTGGTATTGAAATTGAACATTTTATGAATTTCTTAGATCTGACTGTCGTTCTAAAAAGTGAAGAAATGTAATTATCTTCATGAGTTAGTGTTTTCCTAACAGAAATACCACAAGGAAATGGCTTTAACAAGCAAATGGATTTTCTCATGGTTTGGCAGGCTAGAAGTTCAAACCCAGAGCACTTTCTTTGGAGGAAAGCTTTCAGTCTCTGAGATCTCTAGAAGAAGGTCCTTGTGTCATCAGCTTCGAAGGTCTTTGTCTCATTACCTTTTAATTTGTAGGAGATTTCCATATATGTTGACATGTAAATTATTCTATCTGTTCTCTGTTCCCTTGTTTAAATGTCACTTTTATCTCAAAAGGTGCACCTTAAAGTAATCTTGTCTCATTAATGTATCAAAGGCAATATGTTCCCAAATGGGATTATAACCATAAGCATGGAAATTAAAATTTACAACAAGTATGTTGGTGGGAACATAATTCTACCTGTAACATTGTAACCCTGTGGCCCCCACAAAATTCTTGTCCTTACTGTATGCAGAATACATAACACATAACATCAAAAATCTTAAATAAATTCCAAGTCCAAAATCTCATCTTCTGAAACTCATAAATAAATATGATAAGAATTTAGGCCTATTCCATCCAAGGACAAAGTTGTTCTTAATATATTAAGAAATATATTTAGGGCTGTTGAGTGAGAACTGACTCATAGCTGATCCTCAAATGGATTTTCAGAGGTTGTAAATTGCATAAAAAGAGATTGCCCATCTTTTTCCTCCTGAGGAGTAAGCTGGTGGATTTGAACCACCTGCCTTTTGGTTGGCAGTACAACTCCTTACAGCTTACTCTGAAAACAAGAATAAAAATTATTTGCTTCCAAATTAAAATGGTGGAGTAGTCACAAGCTAGGCATTTCTATAGAGATGGGAGAGATTAGAGGCAGAAAATCCAACAGGAAAAATTACGTTAGCTCTAATGGCTTGAAAGTAATATTTTCAGAGAACATATCGGCAGTGTTCTTGTCTTCTGAGCTTTGGTTTCTTGACCACATTCTTTGGATTTTGGTGGAGGCTCCCTTTCTGGGCTTCAGCTCCATCTTACCAGCTTACAGGGTTGACAACTCTACTCCTTCAGCCATAGGCAATCTTATTTTCTTAGCCCATCGAGCTACTGCCTTCATTGCAGCAGTCCTATTTCCCTACCATTTGGTAACTACATCCCTCTGACATCCATTAATAGCTGTACACACTCTGGATGAAAGTCTTGATTCTTTGAAAGCCAGGAAGCTGTGGGCCTACCTTTTGGGATTGCTTGGAAACCAGGATAATGTGACTTGCAGTCCTCCTTCCAGTCATCCGCTGACCTGCTGCTGCTCCAGGGGTGTCCGTTTCTTTGGCCTGTTTAGTGCCTGTAGAATTCCAGAAGGCAATGTTCTTTCTTTTCTTTGTCTGCTTCAGTCTCTGCTGATGAATATTCTATTGTGGTAAATGATCAGACTAGTAAATGGCAGACCTAGTCTTTGACAAAAGATAGACAGCAAAGTCCTTTGAGATGTTCTAGGACTTGTATCTTTAGTTTGTACAACAGAATTTTTCAGAAAATTTTTCATTAAGTTCTGTTTTCATTTTGTGTTGCTGATTTATAGGTCTCTTTCCACTCAAGTTTTACTACTCATGACAGACAAAAAACCTACATGATTCCTTTAAGCCATTGCTTAGAAATCTCATCATCCAGGTATCTTAAGTTCATCCCTTCAAGTTCTTCATTCCACCAAATGTTTGAACATAACTCAGACAAGTTTATTACAATTGCTTAAAAAAGAATCACCTTTCATTGGTCAATAATTAGATTATTTTCTTTTAAAATCTCACGGGAAACCCATGTAATAGCCACATTCTGTTCCTGGTACCATCTGTATTATCTGACACGATAGAAATATTTCCTTCTCGTTCTCCTCACTTCTGAGTCTTCACCAGAATTGTTTTCTACATCTGTAATATCACTGATCATCTCTTGAAGATCACCTAGGCTTTTAGTATAGGCACCTTAAAACTTTTGTGACTTCTGTTTTTACTCTAGTTCAAAACCATTTTATTTTGGGTATCTGAACAGTCCCCTGTGTCTACTACCAACTTCTATCTTAATTATCTAGTGCTTCTGTAACAGAAATGTGACATGTGGGTGGCTTTAACAAACAAATTTATTTTCCCACATTTTAAGAGACAGTATGAGTTCTGAGCATAGGCTCTTAGAGCAGAATTTCTGTATCTCTGGACAGAGTACGAATGAACAGTGGAGGAAGCTCCTTGTCCCTATTTTCCTTGAAAAGCTTTGTGTATATTTAACTATCTGAAAAAATAACACACTATAGTAATCTTGCTTTATTTTTATAATACTACAACCTATTCTCAATTGGTATTCAAGCCACTAGCATATTATAAGTAAATCCAAAAGTATTTGCAATACATATTTTGTGGGAGAATAACTCAATCTATATTGATGTACTAATGTAAAATTTAGCCTTTACAGTAAAATATATTCGGATATCCTGTTAATAAAATATATTCGGATATCTATTTTAGAATTGAATGTTTCTTCCTCATTAGTATTAACAGTTTTAAAAATTTAGTCGAAGTTAATTTTGTATCATGTATATTATGTGGTTTAATAACTTCATATCATTTTATTTACTTCACCATCAGTGAAAAAGTGAATAGGAATACTAACGTTTTAAAATTGTAGGGTATCTTTATTCTGAAATCCAATAAGATAAACATCTATTCATGCAGTTAGTTAAACAAAAGAAATACTGTAAGATTAGTGTATTAGGGTTTTGTTTGTAGCTGCTTGACTCATTAACATTTTCATATAAACAGAAGTGAACACTTCTGATTCATGTATTAGTGTATATACAGCTTTACCTATTTGTTACACTTACGATAAGTTGTTTGTTTTATTTCAGGGTCGAATTACAAAAGTATTGAATATGAAACCTCCAGAGGTAAGAAGAATACTATTTATGAGTGGTAAAACTGATAGTCACTATAATTACTATTTAATTATGCAATCAGTCAGTTTTTAACATTTCTTTCATTTTAAAATGTCTTAAAAACATTGTTCATACAAGAAAAGATTAGACATGTTTTTGTTTTATATTTGGTACTGTGCCATATAGTGAAAGAAATTTTGATCCTATAGAGCAGCCTCTCTCAACCAGTGTGCCAAAGGAGAGTGAAACCCACGGGAGAGTTTTGAATGTCTGTCTGACAATGATTGCACTTTTTAGATGCCTTGAAGAGAAGGTGTTAGTAGATGTAAAGGTATGAGTTATCATCATGATCTCTGCCATTTTCAAGCCTAAGGTTGCACAGATCACTGTATCATGTTCATTGCTGCTGTCAGGTGGATCTTGGCTAAAGCAGAGAATTCCCAAAAACTGTTTACTTGTGTTTTGATTGTAATGATGGCCCGGGATAAGGCAAAGTTTTGACCTGTTGTTTATACGGTCGCTGAGTTCTAGTCCACTCAATGATACATAGCACAAAGGTATGAATATTTTACACAAGAATGAAGGCTTTCTAGTTATTTATAGTAAACAGAACTAATAAGAACACAAGATTGGTATGTGAGCTTGATTTGGATATAAAGTCCTTGTCATCCAGCCAGTTCTGGCTCACAGCAGCTTTGTATGTAGAGTAGAACTGCCCGATCTGGTTTCTGAAATTGTAATTCTTTAGGAAAGGAGACAGCCTCGTCTTTCTCCCTCAGAGCACCTGGTGCTGATCTTTGGGGTTGCAGTGGAACTTTTGAACCATAGTGCCATGACAACATCTAGGTCATACTTTGTTTTTCTTAAGTAACAAATGAATAAAAATCACAGTAGTTCCCAAAGAGAGATCATTTGTTTGAGAAAGAATCAAAGCTGCTGGAAAAGAAATGCTAACAAAATAGTCCTTCCTGCAAAATTTCATCGTAAACCTTATAAAAGCCAGAACCTTGGGTAAAGTGGAACTTGTCAGATAAGTAAAACAAAAGTATTTTCTAGTAAAACAAGTGATAGAAAACTGGCCAAAGGTGGCAAGCTTGTTCAACGTGGGAAAGAGCTGTCCCGTTAGATGAATTTATGTATTAATACTTGTCATGTGCATTTTTAGATTTTATGCAGTTCTCTAGATAACTGAAGTGCAAAGAAGATAAGTTACTTGCCCATATTCTTAAATGTGGTATGATTAGGTTGTTAATGCTTAGGTATGCGTTATCAAGATCTTGGCAAAAAATGACTGGCTTTGACTTGCGTGATTTTTAAATACTTCCAAACTAAAGCAGAATGGTATTAACCTTTTTAATAATAGTTTTATGCTTGTAATTGAGGGAAAGAGAAGAGACCAATTACTAACTCCAGTTTTAAAAAAGAGATAATCTGGAAAATGTAGCAGCAAATGCAATTTTATTATTTGGGTGGTTTGAAAATGTTTGTTGAATGTGAGGGTTGTAGATTATATCTGAATTTTTATTTATTAAATTGCTCTAAATGTCTTGACAAGATGCTTGTTATTGCCACAGATTGACATAGTTAGAATAAATTCAGAAGAGACATACTGACTTGGGTTCTTGAAACATTGATCAATTGTCATTCCAGATTTTATCTATGATAGAAGAAGCAGCTGGAACCAGGATGTATGAATATAAAAAAATAGCTGCTCAGAAAACTATAGAAAAAAAGGAAGCTAAACTGAAAGAAATTAAGACGGTAATTAAGTTTATATAAAACATTTTTGGGGAAGAATAAAATATCTTGATTTTCTGTGCTGTGAAGAGCGAAAGTATTTTTTTTCTTTGAGTTTGTTTTTATGTCACTTTTCATCCTTTTTTTAAAAAAGATGCTTAGCAGACTGACAATACTGAGATCTTCTTTTCTTTTTTAGATACTTGAAGAAGAGATTACTCCAACCATTCAAAAATTAAAGGAAGTATGTATTATATATCTGAAGATGGCTGGTAAAATGTCTGTCAAAATTGGTGACTTATCTAAGATTATACATAGTGATGAAAAAGTATACTAATCAGAGGGTTGAGTAGAAAAGAATTAAGAATTGATTCTCCGTAACTCAGCCTCTGCTTACTGGGAATATTTGCTTCATGCTTATTAAGTTGTCCTTTCCCGTGGGATTAATTGCCTCTGAAAACCCTTTGGAGGATCAACCATGGGTCATTTCCAGCTTGACGGTACAGAACAACAATGCATGATTATAATACTTCGGTCAGAAAAGCAACTCTCCATTTTTCTGTATGTTAAAATTAAATGGAGCAACATTTCTTAAGGCTACAACATTCTTTGTAACCCTGGTTGGTAGACTGTAACTTCTAGTAGAGTAAGAAAGTCAGCTGCTTCTTGTATACTGTTGAGTTGGAACCAATTCAAGTGACCCTCCAGTGGGTTTACGGAGGCAGTAATTACACAGGAGGAGATCGCTCATCATTCTTCTGCAGTGTAGGTACAGATTCAAACTGTGTTTGTTGGGTTTGCTACAACTCCTTATTACCACCAGAGCTCCCTATAACTACTGCTGTCAAAATCTTTTATAAATGAAAGTGGTTGAAGCAAAAACATGGTATTTGTTTCATTTTTGCAGCTCCTGGACAGCATAAAACTTGGTAATATTTCTTTAGTACTTATTGCTTAGTCAAAGACTACGTTATAGTTCATAAGAATTAACTATTTAGTAAAATTAATACTTCTCAAAAATATTTTCTTAATCCATATGATAAGTTTGGTAATTTTTAGAAAGTCTGGAAAATTGTATTGAAGATAGCTACTTTGTATTAGAAGAAAATATCATGGAAAAGATCAGTAATTTAAGCTTTGCTCTGAGACCTGATTTTTCCATCTTTCTTTATATCTGCGAATTGAGGATTTTGACTTTGCGTCATCCAGTCCTTTTTATAATCAAGTTTCATAATGTGAGAAGGAGTGCTTACAAGTAGTTGCATGAATGAATGTTAGGTAGACAACGTAAATTATGAAAAGTTAAAATTTGTGTGCAACCCGAGTGCTCCTTGGAAACAAATTTGTGAAGCATCGTCTCTCATGCTTTGGATATGTTGCTAGAAGAGGCTGTTTCTTGCACAGTAATAGTATGCTTGGAAAAGTGAAGGGTCAGTGAAGGAGAGAAAGACTCCCAATGAGGTGGATTGATACGGTGGCTGCAGCAGTGGGCCCACGTGTGTCAGAGATGATAAGCTGGTACAGGATAGGACAAGATGTATGTTGTTCATAGGGTTGCTGTGAGTCAGGTTCAACTCAGTGCCACCTAGTAGCACAATAGTGAATGATAGGGTGGCTTTATAGCCATTGTATTCTCAGTCACCCATGACCCTTAATGTCCACATTAATTTATTTATTAATATATAGTGCTTGGTTATGTATTAGAAGAAATAGCTACATGAGATTCACTAAAAGCTCTAGTCATTGATTTGGTCTCACCTCACAGTGATGCAACACGTTATTTAATCTGTTTTTATTATG